AGCAGGCGTCCCCGGTGCCTGGGCAGATGCACATGCACAGAGCACAGGTGCCGCCCACCTTTCAGAACAATTACCATGGTTCAGGGTGGCATTAAAACGGATCCCTTTAAGCATTTTTAAAATGTTGTGTAATATAAACTGTGTATATTTCATATGTACCTGTTCAGGGTACTTTTTAAAGCTTGTACATGATACTTTGTATAAAAGCAAACACCAGTGCTCTTTCATTGTATTCTTTCCATTTTTTGCTTTTTAAAATTCCTGAAAATGTGCTGTTAAGCCAGTATTAGGTATTTCTTTTTATTTTGTAAGTGAACATTCCAGCTGTTTTTTCTGGCAGTAGGTTTGATGCTGCATAATCTTTAAAATTTTATTGTTGCAGTTAAATTCATTTAGTGAATGTTTTCTATATTACTTTTATACATATGTAATTAAATAAGTACACGGGGTAAGTGATGGCACTAACAATTTCTTTTTCCATTTTCTTCTGTCAACAGTTCTTCGTGTGCATAGAGATAGAAAACAAAATGCAATACAAATTTTTATAGTTTTGGTGTGGACATGGCTTTTTGTTTCATCAGATATTTGCAGAAAATGTAATTTAATGTATAGACTGTTTCTAATGTCTCTGACGAGTGCTGTATATACTGTATTTCTTTTGCTTGTAAAATTGCTTAAAGCTTCTTTCATTTGATATAGTATTGTATATAATAAGTCTCTTTTGCAAAAAAGAAAGTGTGATCTTTGTGAAAGTAGTACAGTATATGATCTTTAATTTTTTTTAATATACTGTCACATTGCAGCACTGGTTGGGCATTTTAATTCATGTTAATAAATCACAACTCTTGTCAGTTTTAACAGCTTGTCCTGAAAGGGTGCTGTGTCTTCAGGGCAGCGGCCGAGAGGCCCTTTGCTTCCCGGCAGCTGCCAGCGGTGGCTTTATTGGCTCCTCTAGCGCAGGCAGATGTGGAGCTGGCTGCAGCAGCGGGGTTCATTTTCCCCTGCTCGCTCTAGAGGTGAGGACAAATCACTCCAAGCACCGTTTGCTGATCAGGTGGTTTAATGGGGGTTAGCGCAGTGTCCCACGGGGTGTTTGTACACCTGCACAGCTGGCCACAGCTGTATCAGCCATGGGACAGTGGCTGCAGACTGCACCGCTTTCCCATCCCCCCCCCCATAGTGGCCCTTCAGGCCCTCCTGTGAGTGCCGTGTGGGGACAGAGACCTGGTCAGGCTTTGCAGCACGCTGGAAAATCATGAAGCTGCGTTTTTGTAAAGCAGCCTGCCCACCGCTGCCCCCGCCCTGCAGAGAGCTGCGCGTGGTGCTAAAACGGGGCATGGGACGTTACCACAGCATTTTCTATTACCATTACTGCAGCAGTTTTTCCCTGCAGCTGAGCAGCAGCCGCTGAGCAGGTGCTGTTGCACTTTGCAGGTGCAGCGTTGCTCTGTAACCGGGGGGTGAGTGTCCCTCCCCATCCCGCTCCCCCACTGGACTGCGCCCCGCGGCTCCACCTCCGAACCAGGGAAGAAAACCCCAGATGGGCCAGTAAGTGGCTGTTCCTGCGCACTGAAGAGAGGAAATACTTTTTAACATGCAGAAAGAAGTTGGGGCTACTTTAAACTCTGTGAGTTGCCTGTAATTACTGAAAAACGCTACTAGTAGGAACAGTGTGCTGGGAATGCTTTCCTGAGCAAGCGCTGGCTCTGCAGAACGGGGCTTGTGGGCACACAGGGCTGCACTAGCACGCAGTGGAGTAGGGTCACGCCATCACAAGCAGCAGCAGAACCACCCCACCACACCCTGTTCTGCTCCTCGGACACTGGTTTGGGCACAACTGGCACTGCCCTCTGCAGCCCAGTGCTCAGCCCGTTGTCCTGACCCTCGGCCAAGCAGATCACTACATGGTCTCAAACAGAAGAGAGCATGTAAGACACAGGCTGTACATAGCGAGCTGGTAGAGCGGCCCAGAGAGCCGAGACACCAGGCTGCAGAAAGGGCCTGGTGCTGCATGGCCATGGCCGAGCACGGGGCAGGGGCATGCTGGCCTCGTGACCTTCCTCGCCTTGCTTGTGTCCCCTTTCTTCAAGTGCCTGCATTCTCTGCGTGTTCAGGAAGAACCACCTTTCAGTGAGCGGCAGGGACTGGGCACTACCAGTGGTTACTCCAGGTGTGAAGCCACCAAACGTAATTTTTACCTCTAGCGCTGGAGTCGTGC